TCACTATACCACCTACCCAGTGGCTGGGCCGCCTACTGTCACTACGCCGACGATGCAGACGAGGACGTCCAAGGAGACGACATTTGGCACCATGCAGTAAACTACCAAGAGGCAGCCAACACATGCACATTCATATTCCCCGACGACCACTTCTACTATTTGGATGGCACAGATGCCCTAACACATGCAACAACGAGATTTTTGCACACCGTGGCGGCGTGCAATACTCACCGCGCGCACCACTGCGACCCGACTCCCGAACTACGCCACGAACCACCTATCTGGTCCCCACTACGACCTGCACGCGACTGATCAAGCTCAATAAATGCCGTCAAAGTGGACTCGCCAGCCACTGCACGAACCGCCCAAGCAACCGAACTTCCCACGACGCGGCAACGACCTGCAAGCACTTGCGGCACAATGCCGCGACAGCCTAACATTCAGAGTTCAAGTCGTCCAGACATACGAGCACATCACTGAGCTGATCGCGGGAGGACATGCACTGCCCAGCCATGCCGATATCTCAGCTGTACAAGAAGTAACACAATGGTTCAACACCTGCCACGACGATCGCGACATGAAATACAACGTGGCAGTGCGACTACGCGACGCAGCACATCCACTGCAACGCATATGCGACCCACGAGATCCAAGGCCACACCTCACCAGCAAGCGGGACGACAGCGACAGATCCAGCGACAGAGATAGCATCGCCAGCACAGTGCAGAGGACCAAGCAAATACCAACCAAACCACCCACCACCAGCACGGCCCATGCCCAATCCGCTCTCACCCACTCTACCACCAGCATGGACCGCCAACAGCACGCCAGCCAGCCCAACAAACTCAACTGACATTCCACACCGCCAAGCAGCATGACTCCAGACTACACGGCAGCCAACGCAACCCACGGCACTCGCACCTCCAGCAAACACGCGGCAGGACAACTCACCACACACGCAACCCACATATAACGCGATACCAAGCAACCCCATGCCAACGATGCGCAGTGACAGGACGACAACTGCAATTACTACCGCGCCGCGCCAGCGCCCGCACACGCCACCGCCAGCGCACCTAGACCAACGGAAGCCAACGCACACCTAACACCAACCGTACAACAGCAGCGGTAACCACCCTTGCACTTGCATTCACTGCAATGATCAAATGGGCGCCATCATGCATATTCCTACCGCCACACCCACCGCCACCAGCACTCATGATACCCATCATTTACAAGCCTGAAGAGGGCATTAGCACACAGCAATGGCTACAAGCCATCCCTTGGCGGCAGTTAGCGCCGCAGACACTGGCGACGCGGCGCGCTTACTTCCCGACGCAAGCCGCCCAAGCAATTGCAGCGCATCATGAAGCAGCTCGACGCGGGAAGCAATGCATGCGCATATTCAACCAGCGCACCATCTGCATCAGCAAGGCGGGGGGCCCCGCGCTCCAGAACTACATTGGCAGACTACGCGTGCGCCGAGCTCGCTTCGATACCTGCGCCAATAGCGTAAACGAACACGCAAGTGGCGTACCATTCAGGGAGCCTGCGCCCAAACACATGGCAGCGATGCACAGGGCCGCTCCCAAGTCCAAGCCGACAAACGCCGCGACGAGCTACCCGCGCTCGACATGACAACCGACCTACAATGTTGCAATGTTCGGCGCACGGCAGACTACCGCAACTTCCGCAACAGGTATTTCCGGGGGGGTGGGGGGATTATCGCAGAATGACCCCTACTGATAGGGTAGCGCAGACGCACCAGCAGCCAGACGGTCTACCACGATTACTGACTTGTTCTCCCCGCGGCTATTCCGACGCGTCAGTGGTACTTCCAAACGATACGTTTGCGGTTCTCCCGCGAAGCCTTCGGTGGCAGCCCGAGGATTGCCTGTCGCCTTGTCATTCCTCCGCGCCATTATTCGGGGCTTCTGAGGTGGCCGCGGCGGAGGATCTCGCTGCTCAGGTTGGGGGTTGCCCCGCGAAACCCTGGGTCGCAGCCCAGCGATTGCGCGCTCTTCTTTTGGAGGTTCGGGGTGGGCCTTCGAAACCTCACTGCAGCGCACGGCGCGCGCTCGCGCGCGCAGCCTCGGACGCAGCCAGACAGCGCTACCTGGGCGGCAGCCACTTTTGCAGCGCGCATCGTTCCTCGCACAAGCCTCGGTGTGCTAGCAGCTGCTCAGCCGTAGTGTTCTCTACCTGACCTGCAATCTATGTATCCTCCCTTTCCCGCGCTGCTCGTTGACGCGATGGCGGTATCTTGCCCTATGCAGGTTTGGCGCTATCCAGCAAAACCCCTGGTTGCAGGCCCCGGGCGTTTTTTTTTTTTTTTTTTTTGTGTGTTTGTTTTGGTTTGTTTTGTTTTGGTTTGTTTTGTTTTGTTGTGTTTATGTTTCTTGTTGTGTTTGTGTTTGTTGTTGTTGTTCCCCCCTGTGCGCCCTTCGCGTGCTTTGCCCCGCCTAGCTACTCCCAGCGGCGGCGGATTCAGGAGGGCGGGCAGCGGCGGGGGGGTCTCTACACTTCGGTTCGGGGCTATCTTAAAAAAACATAGGGTCGCATCCCAAATGTAGCGTGCTTTCCTCCGGGGTGTCGGGGTAAACCTTGCAGCCATCTTGCAGCGCGCAGCGCGCGCTTGCGCGCGCAGCCGCGGGCGCCGCCAGGCAGCAGTACCTCGGCGACATGCTCTTCTGAGTGCGCATCGTTGGCTGCAGGCTAGCCCCAGTGCGCTGACAGTTCCTCGGCAGCATTATTGTCTTACCTGACCTGCAATGTACATCTCCTCCCTGCCCCGCGCAGCTCTTTGACTCGATGGCGGCGTCTTGCCTTGCGCAGGTGTGGGGTTGCCCTACAAACCCTGGGTAACAGCCTCAGGATTGATTTTTTGGCTCCGCGCACTTCGCGTGCTCTACCTCGCCCAACTGCTCTTGACGGCGGCAGATCGCCGAGGCGGCTGCGGGGCGGATCTGCGTGCCCAGGTTCGGGGCCATCCTGCAAAACCTTGGGTCGCAGCCCACAGATGGCACGCTCTTTTCTGAGAGGTTAGGGGCAAACCTTAAAACCCGATTGCAGCGCGCAGTGCGCACTTGCACGCGCGGCCTCGGACGCAGCCAAGCAGCAATCTTCGACCGCAGTTAGGCGGCCGCACCTGGGCGACAATGCGCCGCTCTTGCTACGTCCCGCGGGGGGGGGGGGGGGGGGGGGGGGGGGGGCAGTGAGTATGCATTGGAGGCTGTAGGAGCCCAGCCTCTGAGTGCTAGCAGCGTGCCAGCAGTGCCGTCTTTGACAGCAGGCCAGGCAGAACGCGCTCTCAGCTTCCTTGCTGCACCAGGCAATGCGAGAGCAGTCTGCCCACGTGCGAGCCCCAGCAAATCAGCCCGCGCTTAGCGTGCAGTCCACGGCGTCTTGGCAGCGCCCAGCCACATACAGGGCGTTCGTCCGATTGGCCCGCCTATCTTGGCCAGCCTGCAACACCTACCACAGGACTACATTGCAGGACTAATTTGGTTCGTGCTTAACCCGAGGAAACATGCGAAAAGCACCAGGGCCCATGTGCCGATGTGATTCGGGGTAAACCCAAACACCTTGGGCGGCGACCTTCGAGCTGCCACGCTTTAGCGTCTTTTTTCGAAGCCACATGGCAGCTTGCGTGATGGAGGAGGGGTGGATCACTAGGTGATGGGCAGCGGCTGGGAGGATCTCTACATTTAGGTTCGGGTTATCCTACAAAGCCCTGGGTCGCAGCCCAACGTTTGCGCGTTTTTTTGGGAGGTTAGGGGGGTAACCTTTTAAACCATATTGCATCACTCACTGTACACGTGGGTCCTCGCGTGAGGGGGCCGAACGGTCATTCGCGGTCCCTGGGTGCGTGGCTGAAGGATTCTGCTTGCTGCCTTGTTGCATTGTTGCGTTGTTGCGTTGTTGTTGCTTGTTGTCGTCGTCCCGCCCGCGACCCGCCCGCGACCCACCGCGCGACCCACCCCGCGACCCACCCCGCGACCCACCCCGCGACCCACCCGCGACCCAACCCGCGACCCACCCGCGACCCACCCCACGACCCACCCGCGACCCACCCGCGACACATCCGCGACCCACCCCGCGACACACCCGCGACCCACCCCGCGACCCACCCGCGACCCACCCGCGACCCATCCGGCGACCCAACCGCGATTCACCCCCCCACTCACCCGCGACCCACCCGCGACCCACCCGCGACCCGCCCGCGACCCACCCGCGACCCACCCGCGACCCACCCGCGACCGACCCACATTGGCTCAACGAAAATATCGGCGCCTGCGGCGGGCTCGATGTATAATTTGTGAAACGTTGGCGCCCGCGGCGGGCTTTTCCGGAGTCTCGCAGACTGCCGACGTCCCCACCTCCCCCGCGCTCTTATCCGCATCTGCGGGGTGCTACGTGTTACTTGGTCGTTTTGATTGGGATTTTCCAAGAAGGTACAAGCTGTGTTACCTAGCGGGTGCCTACTATTTTATTTTTATGTGTTCATAATCTTTCTTTGCCGCCTTAGCCGCGGTGCCCGCCAGGTACCTTTCGCGCCGAGTCTTTTGCATTTCTATTACTTGTTGCGCAGCACTTCAAGAACGCAACACGCGTAAGCGTACAATTTGGCCAGCTCAGCAAGGAGGAGGAGGAAGAGGAGGAGGAGGAAGAGGAGGAGGAGGAGGAGGAGGACGAGGAGGAGGAGGAGGAGGAGGAGGAGGAGTCCAGGAGGAGGAAAGAACGGAGGAGGTGGAGGAGGAGGAGGAGGAGGAGAAGGCGGGGGAGGAGGAGGAGGAGGAGGAGGGAGGAGGAGGAGGAGGAGGAGGAGGAGGAGGAGGAGGAGGAGGATAGCGGGCGGGATCATTGCGACGGCGACTGGCGGCGGCGACGACGACGGCACGACCACGATCTGTTCAGTGCGGCGCGGGCGAGGGGCGGTAGGCAGCGGGTTGGAGGGGGGTCGTTCCCGCCCCGGCTGGGTCGGCTCCGTGCTGGCGCAGGTCACCGATCACATCCGCAACCCTTCCGCGTTCGTCATGAACATGTGCAAGCGGAAGCAGCAGGAGAGGGGAGGAGGAGGAGGAGGAGGAGGAGGAGGAGGAGGAGGAGGAGGAGGAGGAGGCGGTGGCTGCAGCTCTCAGGGAAACGGCCACCAGCACGCGCACCAGGAGGAGGAGGAGGAGGAGGAGGTCTCTGAAAGCTCCTCGAAGCAGCTGGCGACCGCTGGGCGCAATACGAGCTACGACAGCCCAGGCGTTGTCGAACGCACGAGGCAGAGGAGCAGACCGACGGGGACGAGGGCGCCAGAAGTCCCGGGATGGCTCCGGAGGTCCCCAGGAGTCTTTTTTGTGGGCTCTTTGCAGAGGCCGCGGAAGGCCTCTGGAGGCCTCCGGAGGCTTCTGAAGGGCAAGGGGGATGCAGGTCCAAAGATCCAGACCTCGATCTTCGCTCGATCCTCGAGGACGACGGCGGCGGCGGTAGCGGTGATGACAGCGGTGGCGAGGAGGAGGAGGAGGAGGAGGAGGAGGAGGACAAGGGTGCGGTCCTGGAGCCCGCAACGACCACAGACTCCGAAAATGCATCACCAACGTCGATATTAATGTTTCTAGGTTACCCGCAGGGGTGCTACGATGACCGCGCATCGCGCGTCGCGGCCTGTGCTGGAGAGCTGGCCTTCTCCAGGGGGCGGTGCGAGTGTGCAAAGATAGCCACGCGCGACGCGTCAAATTTGGTGACCTAGATAGGGCACTCCAGAAAGGGCCTTTGGCGCACCTCGCCTTCCGCGGAAGCCGGTGGAAGTAAAATGGCGATGGCTCCGCTGGCTGAAGCCAGCGGAGCCACCGCCATTTTACTTCCAACCAGCGCCATTGTTTACGCTTCGCGAATCCCCGCCAGCCCATTCAGAAACCCTGCCCACGAGAGCTGACTGGAAATGGAAAGCAGAGACGCATATAGGGAAACAGAGCGGTCAAAGAGCGGAGGGGGAGGAACGTGTTGAGCCATGTTGGAGGCTATCTTGGAGCATCGGAGGCCTTCTTGGAGCTATGGGGCTTTTTCGGGGCGTCTTGGGGTCCTCTTTGGGCTCTTTTGGAGCATCTTGGGTGCTTTTGGGGCTCTTTGGGGGGTATTGGGGTCCTCTTGGGGCTCTTTTGGGGCGTCTTGGGGGCCTTTTTGGGTCCTCTCGGGGCTGGCTTCTGGCTCTCCTGGGAGCTTCGGGGGGCCTCTTGGGGCTGTCGTGGAGGGTGTCGATGAAAAGAGGAGGGGTCCCAACGTTTGGTCTCAACAAAATAGCCTCTTGGGGCCCTCTGGGGGCGATCTTGGGCGCTCTTGGGGCCGTCTTGGGGGCCTCTTGGGCCCTTCTTGGAGCTCTCTTGGGCCATCTGGGGGCCATCTTGAGGCCTCAAAAGCGCATCGGAAGCGAAAAGGCGAGAAGGCCAACATCACTGATTTCCATTGGTTTTGAAGGATTTTGGCTTCTCGGGGAGGTCCTGAGGGGTCTCCAAAAGCACTTGGGTCCGCCTTGTGGCCGTCTTGGGGCCTCTTGGAGACTTGTTGTTAGCTATCTTGGGCCATGTTGGTCTATCTTGAGCGATCTTGGAGGCCATCTTGGGATCCCTGCGGCCCTCTTGGGGCCATCTTGGGCCATCTTGGGCGCCTTGGCCGCTCGCGACCCCCCCGTCCAGGTCCAGGGAGGGGGTAGGGGGAGGGGTCAAGTTACCCCCTCCCCGCCCTCGAGCCGTCTCGCTCACTCCCACCCGCCCTCCCAACACATACGTAGCACCCGAGTCTGGCCCGAGCCTCAGCATATTTAGCAGTCGTCTTGGGATGGGCAGCTACTGGGGGCCAATCCGCCGCTGCCGCCGCCGCCGCCGCCGCCGTCCCCCGCTGCCAAACCGCCGCCGCCGCCGCAGCCGCTGCCGCCACCGCTACCGCCGCCGCCGCCGCCGCCGCCGCCGCCGCCCCCGCCCCCGCCGCCGCCGCCGCCGCCGCCGCCGCAGCCGCCGCAGCCGCCGCCGCAGCCGCCGCAGCCGCCGCAACCGCCGCTGCCGCCGCCAAGTGTAATCTGTATTGTTTTTTGACAGGGATGGTGGGGGGGGGGCCGCATCGGGTTGGCTGCGCATGTTCCGAATTTGGAGGCAGAGTGTGTTTTGTATTGATTTTTGCAAGGGGTGGGGGGGTGGGGGTGGCATGGACCCTGGTTGGCCCCCAGTCGCCTGGGGCAGGGGGTGTTTATTAATAGGGAACAGTGGTAAACCCCGCCCCGAATGGGAAGAGGGGTTCTTGTGGAAGAGGACAGCAAGATCTCATTAGACCGCCTGTCGCCCAGAGTCCTGGCGGGATTGAGCTGTCAACGTTTTGTTGAACCTGTGTTTTGCCTGAGTCGACCAGACGTTTCAAGACGACGGAGGTCTGAGGAGGACGCTGGCGACGAGAGGCCGGAAGCAGTGCACTTCGCATTGCGAGCGTTGCTGCCAGGAAGCCCACTCCGAGAGTGGCGGCTTGCTCCTGGCACGCATCGCGTTGCCAGCGTTGTCGGCAGTAAACTCGCTCCGAGCATAGTCATTGCCACTCATGCGTAGGCCTTCTCTGGGGTCATTCTCTTGCAAGGACGAGGTCTGAGCGGGTTGAGGGACCCAACTGGCGAGAGACCTCAGAGCCCCTCTCCCTCAAAACTCATGTTTCTTCACGGCGGGGCGGGGGGGTAGAAGGAGGTAAGAGCAGGACGAGAAGAAGGAGGAGGAGGAATATCATGGAGGAGGAGGAGGAGGTTCTCCAGGACAACGGGGATGAGGAGAAGGAGGAGGAGGAAAGAGGATAATGAGGAGGAGGAGGAGGATGCGGACGACGAGGATGATGATGGAGGAGTTGCAGGAGGAGGATAAGGAGAAGGAGGAGGGGGAGGAAAACGATCGATCGAGCTCTCGGGCCGGTTCGGTGCTGCACTGTCGCTGCGCGCTGTGCTGCTTAATAAAGTTGTGTGGCCTAGCTGAGGTCGCTTTTCTGAAAGGGGGTCGCGGGCGCCACTGAGGCGCTCGGGCCCTACCTGCACCGTCCTCCCCCACGCAGGGGGTCTGCGGGCAGGGTAGCACCCGCTATCGGGTGCCCTCTCGCTGGTTCCTCTACTGCCCCGTCTTCTCTGCCCTTCGGGTGGGGGCGGGGGAGTCGGTGCACGACGAATTAGTCAGGGAAGCTCGGGCCTCGGAGTAGGAGGAGGACACGATCGGAGGCGGAGGAGGAGGGCGTCCTTCCCTGACCAGCTCGTGGGATCGTGCGCTGGTGCGTAAAAAATGTGGTGGCCTGAGGGGCCGCGCTCGCTGGGGCAGGACAGAGCCGCGCCGTCCGCTCAGTCACTTCATATTGTGCCGCTCCTCTCTCCGTGTCGTTCTGGCGAGACGTCCCAGTTCTCGTTCTCCGTGCGGCGTCACCCCGATCTTGCGGCTCGTCTCCTTCTGCGTGTCCGTTGACTTCGCCTGGAACTGAAGCCTGCACTTCTCCGTGATGCCCCCTCCTTTGCCCTTGTCTTGCGTGCGAAGAAGATTGGGATGCTGTCTGCTATCTTCTCTGCCCTGCCACCCGATGACGTCCTTGTAGTGTTTCTCGAGGTTGTCGCACTCCGCTTCTGCGTCGAACATGCGCCCCGTGTAGTTCGCCATTTCGGTCCTCACGCGGGTGTGGGGGCTGTCGAGCGAGGCCGCGTCCACTTGTTCTCCCAGCTCCTGGCCAGGTGTTTCCAGGCTGTCTCTGCGCTCGGTGTTGAACGTCGCCCTGTGGTATCGTTGTTCTCCGTGGTCCCAGTTATCCTGCATGATGTTGCCGTTGGTCGTGTCCGTGTCTGTCACTTGCAGCTGGCGAGCGCATTGTACTTGTCCTTCATGGTGGACGCGTAGTAGTAGCTTGCGTTGTTCTTCGGCTCGTGAAGCACTGGTAGTAATTGATGCACTCGTTGATCGTAGGAGGGCGCCCATCGCGCTCTGGAGCATCTGGTACTCGTTGGGCGTGGGCAAGTAGCACTCGTTGCACGAAAGCCCCGTGTTGATGACCCTGCGTATGTGGACCGCGCGCTTCCACTTGTAGGGTATCTCTCGCTTGGTCCCGCACTCGTGGTAGCTCTTCTTCATGGTCTGGATGCGCTTCTGCAACTCTGGGTAGTAGCTCTGCGTCGATGTTACTCGAGGGCCCAGGTATCAAGCCACCGCCACCACTTTGCCTGGAAGTTTGCATTGTGGGTCCTTCGTCTCCTGCTTATCTTGGTTTTTCTTCAGGCCGATCTCGCTCTGGCGTCTGTTCAGCGTGTCGTCTATCTTGTGGTCGGCGAGCAGTTTGGGATTGGCCTGTTTCCCGTTCAAGATGATCTTGCGTATGTCGCCCGCGTACTTCGTCAGCCCCACGTTTACTGGATGTTGGATCAGTTCGCTTCTTCCATACAGTAACTCGTCGTACTCTATCTCGTCGTCCTTGGTCCACCTCTGGATGCAAAAATTATTCACTGCGTGGGGATCCCCATATGTGCATCTCCTTGCTGGCGCTCCCTTGGTGGTGGGACTCGGTGAAGACGAATCTGGATTTAAGTGTGACTGAGCTGCCTCTCTCTCTCTCTCTCTGCTCTCTCTGTCTCTCTCTCTCTGCCCTCTCTCTGTCTCTGCCTCTCTTTCCCTGCCTCTCTCTCTCTCTGCCTCTCTCTCTGCCTCTCTCTCTCTGCTCTCTCTCTCTCTGCCTCTCTCTCTGTGCCTCTCTCTCTCTGCCTCTATCTCTGCTCTCTCTCTCTCTCTCTCTCCTCTCTCTCTTCTCTCTATTCTCTCTCTGCTCTCTCCTCTCTCTCTCACTCTCCCCCTCTCTCTCTCTCTCGCTCTCTCTCTTCTCTTCGCTTCTCTTCTCTCTCTCTCTCTCTTCTCTCTCTCTCTCTCTCTCTCTCTCTCTCTCTATCTCTCTCTCTCTCTCTTCCCTCGCTCTCTCTCTCTCTCTCTCTCTCTCTCTCTCTCTCTCTTTCGCTCTCTCGCTCTCTCTTGCTCTCTCTCGCTCTCTGTCGCTCTCTCTCGCTCTCTCTCTCTCTCTCTCGCTCTCACTCGCTCTCTCTCGCTCTCTCTCGCTCTCCCTCGCTCTCTCCCGCTCTCTCTCTCTCTCTCTCTCTGCTCTCTCTCTCTCTCTCGTCTCTCGCTCTCTCTCTCTATCTCTCTCTTCTCTTCTCTTCGCTTCTCTTCTCTCTCTCTCTCTCTTCTCTCTCTCTCTCTCCCCCCCCCTCTCTTTCCACTTTCTCTCTCTCTCTCTCTCCTCTCTCTCTCTCTTCTATATCTATCTCTCTCTCTCTCTTCTCTCTTCTCTCTTCTCTCTCTCTCTCTTCTCTCTTCTCTCTTTCTCTCGCCTGTCTCCTCTCTCAACTCCTCCCCCTCTCTCTCTCTCTCCGCTCTCTCTCTCTCTCTCTCCTCTCCCTCTCTCTCGCTTCCTCTCTCTCTCTCTCTTGCTCTCTCTCTCTCTCTCTCTCTTTCTCTCCTTCTCTCTCTCTCTCTCTCTCTCTCTCTCTCTCTCTCTCTCTCGCTCTCTCCCGCTCTCTCTCTCTCTCTGGCTTCTGAGTCCCTGAGTCTGAGTATGGGTACGTCTGTGTGTGCCTGACTCTGAAGAAATGAATCTGAGTGTGAGTGAGCTTGTGTATGAGTGAGTCTGGGTGCGAGTCTGAATCCCAATGGTGCCCCTGGCAGTGTCTGGCGACTAGGAGGCCCGGGTCGACTCCTCTTTGGGAAGCCAAAATGCTGCCCCTGGCAGCGTTTGGTGACTATGAAGCCCCTGGTGGACCCCCCCTGGGGCTCCCAAATGATGCCCCTGGCAGCGTTTTGTGACCATGAGGCTCTCAAGAGATACATGTTGGGGAGGCCAAACGGCAATTCTAGCTGAGACGTCCCACCAAAATCGGCGCGAACGGGCTCGTGAGATCAGCCAGGGTGGCTCCCCCTTGGGGCTCCCAAATGATGCCCCTGGCAGCGTTTTGTGACCATGAGGCTCTCAAGAGAGACATGTTGGGGAGGCCAAACGGCAAATTTAGCTGAGACGTCCCACCAAAATCGGCGCGAACGGGCTCGTGAGATCAGCCAGGGTGGCTCCCCCTTGGGGCTCCCAAATGATGCCCCTGGCAGCGTTTTGTGACCATGAGGCTCTCAAGAGAGACATGTTGGGGAGGCCAAGCGGCAATTTTAGCTGAGACGTCCCACCAAAATCGGCGCGAACGGGCTCGTGAGATCAGCCAGGGTGGCTCCCCCTTGGGGCTCCCAAATGATGCCCCTGGCAGCGTTTTGTGATCATGAGAGAGTGTGAGTGTGAGTGAATGTGACTGTGAGTGAGTCTGAGTGAGAGTGAGTCTCATCTTATCTTATCGAGTCCTATCTTATCTTACCTTTGTTACCCTCTATCTTATCTTATCCTGAAATCTCTTATCTTGTCTTAGCTTATCTTATATCAACTCATCTTATCGCATCATATCTTGTATTATTTTATTACTCCATAGACTGTCTTATCTTATCTATTCTCCTACCTTGTCATATATCTTATATTACATTATCATATCTTGTGCTATCTTATCTTATCTTGTAGTATCTTATCTTGTCTTGTCTTTTCTGGTGATTATCATTGGGAGGAGGGAGGCGCGAACGGGAGGAAGAAGGAGGAGGAGGAGTGGGAGGCGTCAGAGTAATAACAAGAACCCCAATCCTTAGGATATGGGGAATAATGCCATTCCTGCTTCGTGGAGTTTGTCGTGGTAACCGTCCAGTAGTCCCTCTTGCGTGGTTCGTATCTTCCTCCTGCTCGTGATAGTTCTTCGTCTCGTTGCTCTGTGCGTTGTTGTTGTGCTCGTCGTCGTTGCCGTTGGCGTTTCTTCGTGATGTCGTGCGGCTTGTTCTCGTTCTCGCGCATCTCCATGATCGGCTGTTTGTCTGTGGCGTGTGGATTGCCCTCCAGCTCTGTCTCTTCCTGGGACCTGGGCGGGCCAACGACCGTCCCTGGAAGGTCCCTGGGTTCGAGTTCATCCGAGCAAAACGGGGGAGGCGACGATTCGGCCACTGGCGTGCGATTAGCCTTTCGTTGTAATTCGTGAGCCTCTCGCGGTAGTCCGTCAGTTTCGGTGCCTGGCAGTAGTACTTCTGCGCTGTCTCTATGAGGATGGTGTTGTTGTCCGTGATGAGCTGATCGACTCCCTTTCCTGCTGGGTCCGCTGTCCTCTGCTCTACCTTCTCGATGACTTCTCCTCTGTGTCGTCCGTGTCGAGCTGCGAACGCGAGGCTGTGCTTTCCCCGTCTCGTTGGCTGAGGTCGCTGTCGTATTTGTTGTCGTAGCAAGGTCACTTGCACTGGTACGTCTCGTCTGGATCGGCAGCGTGTTAGCGGGGGTCCTTGAGATATCGTCTTCTCGGTCATGCTCCTCAGTATCATGATGTACCTCGCGTTCGTCTCTCCGAAATGGCGGTCGGCGTAGGTGCGAGCCTTCTGCCCCGCTCCGTCTGGTAGTCGTTCGGGCGATCCGCCTTCTTCGAGCGCTGGTGTTTCTGATCGTCCTCCTTTCCGTGTATCGTTGAGGTCGCCTTCGACAATGTTTCTGTCCTCTGGTTTCTTCTATCCAGTTGAACCCTCTGCTCGTCTTAGCGTAGTATTGTGGCGGTCTGTAGTTTCCTATGATCAGCGGCGTCTGGTCGTGATGCGGGGTGATCGCGAGCTCTCTTCCACTGAGCTGCAGCTCCTGGATGTCGATGATGGTGCCCGTGCTGTGGTTGATCTCTTCCCTTGGTTGCCAGCCCGCGTCGTAGTATCTTGTGTTGCCGCGGCCGTGCTGCGTGATGACGTGTCGTCTGCGTGATGTCCCCACGATGATGTCGATATTGTTGCCCTCCTCGTATCTCACCGCGAGCCTGTCGGGCTTGGCCGAGTGGCGGCAGAAGAGGAGCACAGCGAGAGAAGCTGAGAATGCTGCCATCATGCGGGCCGCCGCCCCTTCTGTCTGCTCGGTCCGAGGAATCGCATGGTGGCGGTCTGGGCTGCCCTGACAATATCTTAGGCCCTGATGGCAGCTGAGGAAAACGAGGAGGAGGAGGAGGAGGAGAAGGAGGAGGGGGGGAGGAGGATGAATGATGAGGATGATGCTGATGATGATGACGATGATGATGATGATGATGATGATGCTGCTGCTGCTGCTGATGATGATGATGATGATGCTGATGATGATGATGATGATGATGATGATGATGATGATGATGATGATGATGATGATGATGATGATGATGATGATGATGATGGCGCGGACGACGAGGACGAGGATGTAAGAGTTGGGGTAGGAGGAGGAGCAGGAGGAGGAGGATTCGTAGGAGGACGGAGGAGGGGAGGGTCGGGGAGGAGGACCAGTGCAAACCCATGATCCGTCAACGATGTTGCAATAGACTTTTCCAGTCTAGTTCCGTACAATACTGTGCTTTCATTGCGAGATACGGCCCATTAGAAGACAACCGTTCGAGAAGGTTCAATCGTGCCAAACATTCCTGGGATGCCAACGCCGCGGATCAACGTGACTGTTGCGTCCTGACTACCCTAAACCGCGTCAGCCCGCCATTGCGAATCAACGTGACTGCTGCGTCCTGACAATCCTGAAATGTGTCAAAACGCTTTCTCCCTGGGATTCGAACCATACAAATCCTTGAGATAGTCGCACACCCTGTAATGCGAATGTGTGTGGCGCAAAGGCGACAGCGACATGTTGAACAGAACCCGCCCTTCACGCTTGAGTCGTTGCAGTCTTTTAAGACGAATGTGTGCGACGCGAAGGCGAGATCCACATTCTGACGAGGACTCGCACTCCATCCGTGCAACTTGTTGCAAACTTTAGGACGCATGTGTGTGGCGCGAAGGCGAGTTCCACATTCTGAAAAGGACCCACACTCTATCAGTGAACCTTGTTGCACACGTTCCAGACGAATGTGTGCGGCACTACGGCGATAGCCACATTTTGAAAAGGACCAGCCCTCCAACGATGAAAATGATGCAACTTGCAAGTTCCAAGAACCTAACTGGTGAGGAAGTCTGAGGCGCAACGGTCCGCCCGTCCTATCGCCACTGTGGGAAAGACAGGACTGAGTTATTTTCAAGGAAAAGGGATGGAGGAGGAGCAGGAGCAGGAGGAGGCAGAGGATGGAGGATGGAGGACGGAGGATGGAGGATGGGAGATTGAGCATGGAGGATGGAGGATGAAGGATGGAGGAGGAGAAGGAGGAGGAGGAAGGATGGAGGAGGAGGAGGCTGAAGGATGAAGGATGAAGGATGACGGATGAAGGATGAAGGATGACAGAGGAGGAGGAGGAGGAGGAGGAGGAGGAGGAGGAGGAGGAGGAGGATGGGGGGGGAAGGCGTTGGAGGTCGAGGGCGAGAAGTTGCGCCCGCTCCACGCGAGGAGGCGACGCAGCCGCTGCCGCTGCGACCCGATGACAGGCTGAACGAGAAGATCGAGGGCATGGGCCTCGACGGCAGCTGCTCCAGGATGCGTGCCCTCCGTCCGCTGCCTCAGTGGTGGTGTTGCAGTCGAGAGTTCGCCACATGGAATGCTGACATGCCACAGCCCCACCTCCGTGCGCACGAGGAGAGCGCCACTGGCCAGACAGCGACTGGCTGAGCGCCCGTTTCCATCTCGGCTCAAGCCACCATGCGGGTTCAGGGTCGGCTGGGAAGTCAGCATGACCGCCACTGCTGTGCATGGCGCCCTCCTGCTCACGCAGTTCTGCTGGGGCTCCGCTGCCGTCTTCAACAAGCTGGGGCTGTCCGGCGCTGGGATCAGCCCTCTGGTTTTCGCGTTGATCCGGGAAGCGACGGCCGCGCCGTTGCTCTTCCTGATCCTCTGCTCCGCGCGGCGGCGTGGGCGAGGGGAGGAGCCGTTAGCCACGGACGGCGCGGCGGAGAACGATGGCTCGGAGGGTGATGGCCCCAAACCTGAGGAGCAGAGACTGGTGCGAGCATAACATTTGGGATGTCCGCGGGGAGTTATACGGTTCTGACGCTGGCCCGAGGAATGCGCCGCAGGACTCCGAAGGCCACCTCAGGCAGGATTTGCGCCAAGGGATCGCCTGTTAGTTTTCAGGGAATTCGCTGGCGGGTTCGGGTGCTCGGCCCGTGGGCGCTCGTGGCCGCCGGGTGGCCGCCTCGTGCGGCGGCTTGTGGTTCTGGGCTTCTCGCCAGTGGGCGCCCTTGGGCCGCCTTGTGGGCCAGCTGGCGGCAGCAGATTTGGCACCCCATAGACTGCGCCGCAGAGATAGTATCACACGTCTTGCACCATACAATGTATCGCGCCAAATGCATTGCGTCCAATCGGCTGCAACTCGTAGGCTCCTTTTCCTGGAGAAAGCTGGACTCTCTCCCCCCGCCGAGGCTGGGGTGATCCCCTCCCCTCCGCGAGCTCAGTTTGCAGAGTCATTCTGCACGATCGTGCGTTTGAGTATCATGCAGTACAACGGTCCCCCCTCATCCCTGTTAAATGATACTGCGCCGTACAGGGTCACTGATCCCGCAGTCGCGTTTTGTCAGGACCCTTATGAATGATTGCTATTCGGGCCACGTGCGCGCGCCCCCGCGCGCATCTGTCAACATCCGTGTCAATCTATGTTTTGTGTGGAACCGTTTCGTGATATCCCAGACGCCTACGGCGACTCACCGCCGCCCCCTGCTTTTTGCAGCCGCCCACGCGGCCAAACGTTGGGCCGAAGTCTGGCCAAGCTATCGGACTATGTGTTCCCTTAGCCGTTGTGGACCCCCATGGGGGAACACTCGGGGTGGAAGAGAAAGGAGGATGAGAAGGAGGGCGTGGAGGAGGAGAATAATGAAAAAGAAGAGGAGGCCTCTTGAGGCTCTCTTGAGGCCCTCTCTGGGCCTCCTGGGGGCTTCCTGAGAGGGGGCATCTCAGGGGCCTTTCGAGGGCCTTTTCGGGGCCTCCTGGGGCCTCTTGGAGGCCTCCGGGAGCCTCTGAGGGACCTATTGGCCTTCGGAGGCTCGGGGGTCTCTCTGGGCCGACTTGGCTCCTTGTTGGGAGCGCTTCAGGGCCGTCTTGGACGCTACCGTGGGCGTCTTGGAGGTCTCCTGTGTCGTCTCGGGGTCCTCTTGGGGCAGTCTTGAGGGCCTGTTGGGCCGTCATAGGGCCATCTTCGAGGCCTCTTGGGCACTCTTGGGGCCCTCTTGGTGGCCTCTTGGGCCGTGTTAGGCCGTCGAACAGAAGAAAATGAACAATCGCCAGAATCCGCCAAAAAGCGACGGGGAATCAATGATTTTGGCCTCTTCGGACCTTTCTGGATGTCCTCTTGGAGGCCGCTTAGGCCGTTTTGGAAGCCTCTTGGGCCGTCTTGGGCCATCTTGAGGCCATCTTGAGGCCATCTTGGGTGGACCGTCATTGAAACATCTTGGGGCCATCTGGGGTTTTCCTGGGGCCGTCTTGGCCATCTCGGAGGCCATCTTGGCTGTATTGCAGGCCGTCTTATGGGCCATCTTTGCCGTCATGGAGAGATTTGTTTTGGATGTTTGAATTTGTGTGCGGTTTTACGGGTGCTTCCAGGTGGCCATCGGGATCGGCCCAGACTTTCTTGGGAACCTTTGAACACCAACCAACATACACACAAACACGCACACACACAAACACGCACACACACACACATACACACAACACACACACACACACACACACAACACGCACAACACACACAACACACACAACACACACAACACACACACACAACACACACACACACACTTTTTCGTCGGCGGCTAGGCAGAGGGACTGCGCTGGCGGATAGGGCGTTGGCAGGGCATACGAAAGCGAATCGAGCCGCGGTGCACGAGGGGTGGAGGAGGCGCCCGGCGGTGGCGGGAGGGAGCAGGAAGGCGGGCCCGCTCAGAGCAGGGCCAGGCGCGCAGCAGGGCGGCGCCGGGGGTTGGAGCCAGCAGCAGGGGGGCGTCGGCTGGACACCTACACCCTCGGCCACACCCACACCCACACCCACACGGACACGCACACGCACACGCACACGCACACGCACACGCACACGCAAACACACACACACACACACCACACACACACACCACACACACACACACACACCACACACCAACCACACACCACACACACACACACACGCACCACACACCACGCACACCAGACGCACACACACACACACCACACGCTCACCACACACACACAACCACCACATACGCACACACACACACACACCCCACACAGCACACATACACCACACATACACCACACGCACACACCACACACATGCACACACACCACACATACACCACACACACCACATACGCCTCATACACACCACACACCACACACATGCACACACACCACACACATGCACACACCACAAACACCACACACACATACCACACGCCACACACTCACACACGCTCACACCACACACCTGACATTTTTTTTTGCGTCGGCGGCTGGGCAGAGATTACTGCTCTAGCGATCAGGCATCAGTGGGGCGCGCTAGATGCAATTTGAGCCGCAATGCGCTGGAGGAGAGGAGGAGACCCCGGCGCAACGGAAAGAAAGGAAGCCGGGCCTGCTCAGGCAAGTCCCAGCTGCGGCGGGGCGGACGCGCTGGGGGGGGGAGCAAGCCGCGTCGCCGGGCAGCAGCTGGTGGGGGAAGGCAGTCCGACAGCGGCCGGGCAGAGCCGTGCAAGTATGGAACGTCCCGACCAGCCAATCAATATCAGCCCATAGGAATACCAGAAGGGGCTGACGTTGGACACACCACACAAACACCAACACACACACACATACCAGCACACACATGCATACACAACACACAACACAAAACACACAACAACACACACATGCACACACAAGACACAACACACAACACACAACACACAGCACACAACGCACAGCACTCACACTCAACACACAGCACACAACACACAACACACAACACACAACACGCACGCACACCATACACATACACATACACATACACCCACACCCACACCCACACCCACACGAACACGTGCGCGCACACGCACACACACACACACACACGCACACACACACACACACACACGCACACACACACACACACACCACACGCACACTGTTTTACGTCGCAGCGCGGCAGAGGCAGTCCGCACGCGCGCTCAGGCGGCTCGGGCAACGGAAAACGCAAATTGACCGGCGGCACGAGGAGGGAACGACAGGCGAAGGCGGCCGTGAGGGAGGAGGGAGGAAGGGTAAGGCACTCACGCGCGACTCTGCCCGCCGGAGCAATCAGAGACCGCTTAGGGTGTCGGAGCCGCCTGCAGCCATAACATAACCATTTGGGCATGGATGGCAGGGAGGAGCAGTGGAAGGACGAGGCTACGGTGAGGTGGACGGTGCCATGAGCCAACCAGGACTGGAAGGCTGGGGGGGCGAGGAAGTAAAGTGGAGCGGCAAGGAGGCCAACGTCGACCTGGATGGCATGAGGACCAGTAGAAGGGCGAGACTACGGTGGGGTGGAAGGTGCAAACACAAATCCGGAAAGGAAGGCGGGGGGAGCGAGAAATCAGAGTGGAGCGACGAGGAGGTCGAGGCCGACCTAACACCACACACAACACGCATCTCACAACACACACCACACAACACACAGCACACAACACACAACACACAACACACAACAAGAGACAACAACTCAACAACACATAGCACACAGCACACAACACACAACGCACAACGCGCAGCACACAGCACACAACACACAGCACACAGCACACAGCACACAACACAGCACACGGCACACAACATACAACTACATACACACGCACGCACGCACACACGCACATTTGTTGGATTCAAGCCGTCCGCTCCCATCTGCCCTCTCCCCAGCTATACCCCTCGGATGTCTGCGTCCGTCGGCCTACCACCAGGTGGGCTGGACGTCTGGAGCGGCGCCGCTGCCTCCCAGAGGCCCGCGGTCTCCCGCGGCCCTGGGCCGCTCACGGGCGGTGGCAGCGGCATATCGTCAGATGGCCAGGCCACCTGGGGCGCTCCCGAGAGTGCCTCGCCCTTCCAAGGATCGAGACGTTGGACCCAGACACCCAGATCTCCGACGGCACAATTTTTCCAGGCATAGTTAGTTGTTACCTCAACCTGGGCTCTCCGGGGCTTGTGTTCGGGCCCTGGGGCAGTAGCAGACTGCACCCAGACCAAACGCTGGCCCCAGGGAAGGGCTCGGGGACCTGTGGGGCCGCGGGCGGAACAACAAACCGGATCGGTGTATGCCAGGGAACGCGTCCAGGCGGCCAGTCAGCTGTGATTCTTGGCCTCCTCCTCCTCCTCCTCCCCCTCCTCCTCCCCCTCCTCCTCCTCCTCCTCCTCCTCCTCCTCCCCCTCCTCCCCTTCCTCCCTCTCCTCCTCCTCCTCCTCCTCCTCCTCCTCCTCCTCCTCCTCCTCCTCCTTGTCTTGGCCTTGGGATTAACAAGCAGCGACTCGAGATGAAACGCGGGGCCCTGGACAAGGCGTCGAGAGGCCCGGGGGCCCACGCACCGAACAGAAAGCCGAGGCGTCGGCTCCCAGGGAGCCCGGAGAGGTCTTCCGCTGTCTTCGGCGTCTGGGACCGTCCGAAGCCCTCGAGGGATCGAGAGGTGGAGCTCCCCCCCTCGGCGATGGAGATGAGGAAGATGAGGAATGAGGACGGAGGACGGAGGAGGAGAGAGGGAGGAAAGGAGCGGGACAAGCGAGGAACTCCCCCCCCCTTGTTGGGCCATGCGCTCTCGGCGCTGGCTGGGCGGGGCAGAAGGCCGGCGGCTAGGCGGCACAGTGGCGGCGCTGCCGGCGGAAGCCGGCGGAAGTAGGGTGCATGCGTTGCTCGGGGCTCAAAGGCGACGGGGGTCCGTGCAACCGGGGGTCGGACGGCGCCGGATCTTGCAGTAACCTGCAGGGCTGGGGTTGCACTGACCCAGGTTCCCAGAGATCCGACGTCGTGATTTTTTCAATGCGCGGTCCACGGAAGCCTCGATCCATTCCCCAGGACCGGCTTTTCATCCTGGGTCGTTTCTTGACGGTCCCGGGGCCCGGCGAGGGCCTCTCGAGGCCGAAATCAGCGAAACAAATCCGTCGTGATTTTTTCAAGACGTTGGATCTCTGGGTTTGGTGGCAGGATCCCGCAGCATATCGTGCAGGATTTTACCGCATCCTGCAAGGCCTGGCTGAACTGGGTCTGGATTGACCCGGGTCAGTGAGTCCCGGAATGGCGTGGGCTCCGCGGGCCACCATGCTCGATATGAGTATCAGGAGGAAAAGAAACACACAGACACAATTAATCGTCGATTCCCCAGAAAATATGGGAAAATATGGGAAGTGGGGGGGAAGACAGAAACCCAGAAAATATAGGAAAATATGGGGAATCTTGTTATTTGTGTGTATTTATTTGTGTGTCCTTGGGCCCCTTCAGAGTAGCCATACCGTGCGCCGCATATCGTGTGGTTTTTGCCCTGTGCGCCTCGCGAAGCGTCCGTCCGGAAGGTGCCTTGCGCGCAGTATAGCGACAGAAGGAAGCAGAGTATGCGCCAGATTGCTCCCCCCCAAAGGGGTGTCAACGTTTAGGATGTTTTAAGGTTTCTTGAGCGGGCCATCTCGTGTGGTGGGGGTAGTGTTTGGGCTTGATCCAAAGGGAGACACAATCTGCTCTTGCGGTTCTTGCCGGGCTTCTTCATTTTCGTCGACCAGGTCTGCAGCCTGACTGGAACGATGCTCGCCGATCCCGTCTCCGCCGCCTCTTGGCAGCCCTCGCAAGTTGTCTTCACAGTCCTCATTAGCGTGATCATGGGCATGGAGAAGCTCACGTTCTGGAAGTGCGCCGCCATGCTGCTGACCGTGGCGGGTGCGCTGTGCCTGGGCTTGGTGAGCGGCATCAGCCACCAGGAGGAAAGCAGCAATGATCAGTCGAGCCGCGCCATCGGCCAGTTCTTTTTCTTTGCGAACTGCCTGGCCTCCTCGCTCGAGGTCATCTTCTGGAGGAGGCTTCTGTGGCGAGCCACAGGTGAGCTCGTGCATCTCACCGTCATGGCCGAGAGCTACCTCGTAGCGGCATGCTTCATGGCCACGGCATGCGTCAGCATCTCGTTTTCGCCTACCGCGGTCGACTTCCTGTGCCCCGCATGCGAGGGCGACCCCTGGCACGTCCCCCCGAGCGCTCTGCTGTCTATCGGCTACTCGGTCCTTTTTCAGACCATCGTGGCCTACTGTGCCCAGGCGTGGGCGCTCAGGTACGCTCCGGCCTCCCTGGCGTCCTTCTATGCCACCGCGCAGCCCATCATGGCGACAGCTGTCACCTGCGCCCTGCTGCTCGTCGGGTTCAACCCCGATGGGGTGCTCGACTGGCCGTCATTCGAGTTGGTTGGGGCAGCATTCATCATTGCTGGTCTGTTCGTCAACGAGGCCGGCAGCAGAAACAATGGAGAGAAGGACCATGGCTCGGACGACTCGGCCGTGGACTCGGACGGTGAGTCTTCGCAGTCAAGCGACGAGTCGTAAAACGCCAGCCAATGTGGGCTTGGCCCGTGCGTCCAGCTGACGAGCACTGTGCCTGGGATGCCTCCTGTCGGCAGGCTGTCGTGCCGAGGGGGGATGGCACCCAGACCTCCGACGTCTTGACCCCCTCCACCCCCTCCCCCCACCACCACACACAGACACAGACACAGACAGACACAGACACAGACACAGACACAGACACAGACACAGACACAGACACAGACACAGACACAGACACAAACACACAAAGACACACACACACACACTTTTGCGTTGGTGGCTAGGCAGAGTTACTGCGCTGGCGATGAGGCGTTGGAAGAGTTACGAATGCGAATTCGACCACCATGCAGGAGGATTGGATTGCGCTCTGATTCGCCGAGGAGACGGTCAGCTTGGTGCGGCACTCACTAGCTGCTGCAACAGTGCGTACATGCAGCACGGGCGCCAAGGTTTGGTGAATCTCCCCGCCCCCGTCCTGTCCTACCACCCCCCCCCCTCATCGTCTGAAGGCGCTCAGGGCGCATCACAACGCCGCAGGAGGAGGGAGGAGGCAAGAGGGGGCATATCAAAGAGGGGAGCAGGTGATGGCCTGCGAATGGCCGAAAGCCAGCTTAGTGGGCTGGCGCAAGGCAGGGGCCTGCGGGAGTGCACGATATTCGCACGCTCGACCTGCGGCCCGTGCCTGCACCAACGCCGCAGTGCAACCCTCGTCCCCACCAAAAGACCAAAACTCACCCTCAGTCCCATCCCGTCAGCGTCCCCCCCGAATCCCTCCTCTCTCAAATCAAGTGGCCGGCATCGGGTCGAACAAAGAAACGACGACCGCGTCGTGGCTCTTGGCCACTCGGGAGGGGGAGGGGAGGGAGGAAAGGAGAGAAACCAAATACAGATAAAGCCGAGAAGGAAGCGTGGGACTGGGACGCACATCTCAAACCTCCAGCCTCGGAAGGATGGCAGCAACGAGCGGAAGGGAAGAGGCTGGGACGCATACCGATCACCTCCGGAACGCTGTGTCCCTTGTAGTAAATACTGGCTGCACAAATGCAGGAGGCAGGCACAGAGGGGATGATTGTAGATGAAACCGAGAAGAGAGAGTGAGACTGGGACACATATCCTAAACCTCCAATCTCGGAGCAGCAGAAAACGAGCGGGGTCAAGGCTGGGACACATCTGACTGGCAGCCGCCATCTTCTGCACGTAGTAGCCAAAGAGTGACGACTACGAATCCAGGAATTCCATCACCATTCCCACACCGATCCTCCCACTGATCCAAATCCCCCCCCCACCTCATCGTCGGACGGCGTTCAAGGCGCATCACAACGCCGCAGGAGGAGGGAAGAGGCGAGAGGAGGCAAATCAAAGAGGGGAGAAGGTGTGATGGCCTGCGGAGGGCCGAAAGCCAGCTACTTGGGCTGGTGCAGGGCAGGGGCCAGCGGCAGTGCACGATATTCGCACGCTCGACCTGCGGCCCGTGCCTGCATCAACGCCTCAGTGCAACCCTCGTCCCGACCAACAGACCTAAACACCACCCTCCAATCCCTCCGCCCATCTATCATGGACGTGTGTGACAGCACAGCACGTCGACCACGCGAGACACTCGCTGATCAGGATGGGGAAGGAGTGGGCAACACGACGTCTGGGACACACATGCTGCCACACATGCTGCATGCTCACGACTACATCCTGCAGAGCTAGGAAGGAGGAAAGGCTAGGACCGCATCTCCTAGGCAGTACAGTGGGGGAAGAAGGGTAGTTATCTTCGCACCCACGCGAGGCACCGACGCGATTGTAATCGCGCTATGCCGAGGGGGAGAAATGTGGCAGGGCCATCTGCTGATCAGTCGAGCCTCCTTCTCCTAGGGAGGGGGCTCCGGACAGACCAGTCTTGCCATTCTCGGGAGGCCGCGATACTCGCAGCCAGAACCGCATCAGGATTGGCCAGGGTGCGCGTGGGTGGCGGGGGAGTGGGCAGAGGCCCCTGCTGCACTCACCTACGCACGTGCCGATCAAACAGATCATCATTCACTATGGCAGCAATGCGAGCAGCTGATGATATGGACTCGCAGCGAACAATAGGAGTAGAAATTATTGGGACTCGCTGCACACGGACCCATATCCGCTGCAAGCGGAATCTTAGAACGGGCGGGCGGCTGGAGGGCAACCAAATCATACGCTCACGGCAAACTACATTGCTCCGGGCGCCAGCCGTCTGCTCCGGGCTCGGCGGCTCACGAGCCCGACCGGCCGCCGCAGCAGCAAACTCCGGAGCTCCAGCAGCAGCAGCAAGCTCCCGCGCATCCAGCGGGCCCGCAGCCCCCAGCGGGTCGGCCTGGGCCGCTGCATGCGGCAGGGCTGGCTCGCCGGGATGTGCCAGCTGCGCCATGTAGGTCCCGTCGTTGTCCTTGTGCACCTTGAACTGGGTCCACTTGCCCAGGAAGGCTGCAACATCCGTCTCGCCCTCATCCTGCATGAGGGAGTCAAGGCGAATCTGCCACATGGCCGCGAACTCATCGGGAAGGCGAGCCACGGGAACAGGCCCTCGGCCGCGCAAGACTTTGGCCAACGCCACAACCAGCAACGTGGCCGCAGCCAGCGCCGAGGGCGGGGCAGCCACCGCCTCCGCCAGCGCCGGTGGCGAGGCAGCACGTTCCAGAGCCTCCGGAGACGCAGCGCCATCGGGACGCGCAGGCGGTCCGGCACCAGGCAGAACGCGCTCATCCTCGCGAGCGTCATGTGCGGGTGGCGGCAGCAGACAGAGCGGCGGCAGTCCGGGATCATCATGTGCAGGTGGTGGAGGCAGCACTGGTAGTTGCGGCAGCGGGCGCGAAGCGCTCGCCGAGGAACGCGGCGGGGCGCAGGGTGCACTCCTGGGTACAGCAGGGCAGGGGGCGCCAGGGGCCACGCCAGCGGCCGCAGCTAACAGGTCCACAATCGGCGGCATGTCATCGATCTGGACGTCCGGTTGAACTTCAAGCCGAGCACGAGAACGAGCTTGGGCATCGGCAGCAGCGACTGCGGGAGCGAGGCTAGCCACGTCGCGCATGCAAGGTCGGCGGCCGACTCGGGCCGCGAAGCCGAGCCTGCGCGCGGCGGTGCGCAGGGGCGGCCTCGGCCAGTCGCCATGGCGCTGGCCGGAAGCATCTCGCGGCGCGCGGCTGTCCCAGGAGAAAGGGGCGGTCGGGGCGGCGCGCATGGGCCCCTAGCCCCTAGCTCTCCAGTGGGAAATGCTTCCACCTGGGCCAGAGCCTTGAGCCAAAATGGCTACGGAATGCAGAAGGGGGGAGGGAGGAGGCGCCCGGCGACGGCAGGAGGAAGGAGGAAGTCGGGCCCGCTCAGAGCGGGGCCTGGCGGCGGCGGTGGGGCAGCGTGCGGGGGGGCGGGGCCCAGCGGCAGCGAGGCGGCGGCTGGGGGGGCGGGAGCCAGCACAGACACACACACACACACGCACGCACGCACGCACACGCACACGCACACGCACACGCACACGCACACGCACACGCACACGCACACGCACACGCACACGCACACGCACACGCACACGCACACGCACACGCACACGCACACGCACACGCACACGCACACGCACACGCACACCACACCCACACCCACACACACCCACACACCACACCCACACCCCACACACCCACACCCACACCCACACCCACACCCACACCCACACCCACACCCACACCCACACCCACACCACACACCCACACCACACACCCACACACCCACACCCACACCCACACCCACACCCACACCCACACCCACACCCCACACCCACACCCACACCCACACCCACACCCACACCCACACCCACACCCACACCCACACCCACACCCACACACCCACACGCACACGCACACGCACACGCACACGCACGCGCACGCGCACGCGCACGCGCACGCGCACGCGCACGCGCACGCGCACGCGCACGCGCACGCGCACGCGCACGCGCACGCGCACGCGCACGCGCACGCGCACGCGCACGCGCGCGCGCACGCACGCACGCGCACGCAACGCACGCACGCACGCACGCACGCACGCACGCACACACACACACACACACACACCACACACACACACACACACACACACACACACACACACACGCACACGCACACACACACACACACACACACACACACACACACACACACACACGCACACGCACACGCACACGCACACGCACACGCACACGCACACGCACACGCACACGCACACACACACACAAACACACACACACACAAACACACACACACACACACAAAAACACACACACACACATTCACACACACACACACACACGCCAAGCGGCGTGTGCTGTGATGTGCTGTGATGAGATGTGCTGTGATGTGCTGTGATGTGATGTGCTGTGTGTGCTGTGTTGCGCTGTGTTGTGCTGTGTTGTGCTGTGCTGTGATGTGCTGCCACACACACGCACACACGCGGCCTCGCTGCGCTGTGCTGCGCTGTGATGTGCAGCGGTGCGGCATCTGGAGCCATCGGCTCCGTGCCTGGAGCACTTGCCCCGGCCCCCGAGGTGTCGCTCCCGTCGTCCTTCGTCGTGGTCGTGTCGTCCGCCGTTCTCCTGAACCCTGCCGCCATGGAGCCCGGTGTCCGTGGCGTGGCAACCCTCCCCGTCAAGCAGCACGCGCTGCTGCTACGGCTCTGCCAGGTGTTTACTGCGCGCGCCCGTGTGGACCCCTCCCTCGCGGCAGCGTGGCTTCGTGACTCCCTAAGCCTCCTCCAGAGGCTGCTGTCTGATCCCGTGCGCCTTAGCATCCTTAGCCTGCGTCACGCTGCCTCTCTCCCCTCCTTCCCCCTCCCGCCTGCTTCCTGGTACTCGATGTCTTTTTCTGTAGGCGTTCGTGCGCCCAGCCAGTGCCGTCGCCCATCGTTTGGCTCAGCCCGTGCAGCTTCCATGTCGGCATTGTGGAAGAAACAGTCCCGCGCACGCCTGCCCACACGCACGCACCTGTCGCTGGCTGTGATGCGCTGCG